AAAAAAAAGGAAAAAAAAAGGAAGTCATTTCACGTCATAGAAATTAATATGGAGCCACTTCTGGGGCCAGGTTATTGTTTACACAGATTTTAACTTGAAGGCTGCTGTTGCACGAGGCAAAGCTGGCTAGATATGATTCATAAATATATAGGGGTTTGTGGTTAAGCTGAGGATTTTGAGCCAGAGCAGAGCTGGTCAGAGTGGGGAGTGTGTGACTGACTGTCTGGAAACTGGGCAGGTTCCTGGCTGTGTGCAGGCAGGAGAGGACTCAAATGCAGACTCACAGAGGCGAAGAGTAAACTCAAAACAGCCCAGCTTTATTTGCTGGCTGGTAAAACAATACAAAGTACTTTGGGAAATGATATAAACTAAACACACATAATGGCACACAGGGAAACACACAACCATGAGGGTACAGAAAGAAAGACAGGGCTTAAATACCCTGAGGGCAAACAAGGAGATGAGACACAGCAGGGAGTAATCACACCTGAGGAGTCCAAGGGGAAGCAAAACTAGAAACACTGACATGAGACAAGGGCCCGTCAAAGTAAAACAGCAGAGGCACGGACTAGACACTGAAGGGAACACAGAGTACAAGGACAGGAGTGACATGAGAAGCAGAGGAACCAAAACCTAAGAACTAGAAATCCAAAATAGAAACAAAAACACCAACAGACTAAACAATGAGGAAAATAAAGATGAAAAATGATACAAACGTCAAAACATTGGGTCACCGAGCCAGGACCGTGACACTGGCTGTGCAGAGCAGCTGGGAAATGGACCTGAGCAGAGAGTCCACAGTGTGGAGAACTGATCTGAGCAAATAAAGAATGAAATCCAGGTTCAGGTCTGAGCAGGAGAGCTGAGCAGGTGAAGTTGACCACTGAGGCAGAGCACAGTGGAGGGTGGATGAAAGGCAGCAGGTTTGGTGATCAGATGTGGACGAGATGATAAACTTTCACTGTTCTACTTTTACAGTAATATTGTTTTTAAATGTGTTTTAGCTGTGAAGTCAGTTTTAAAACAAAGACAATCAGCTGTTCAGTCTGTTTCACAGTGAGACTCTTTCTAGACTCCTACTTTGAAAAACAAAAGTTACTAGAAATAAATCATCTCTAACACTCAGATGACAGAAGACCTCTTTGTAGAAATAACAATAAATGCACAGCTTTATTTATTACTGATATAAAGTTTGCAGAGATCACAGAGACACAATAGAGGCGATTCAGAGGTGATGCTCCGTGGTGACATCAGTGATGACATCATTATTCTCATCATTATGAGAAGCACAAAGGAAATTTCCTGTAAATATGTAGAAAGACTAGTTTACACAGGGAGACTAGTTCATCATTAGCACACTGAGTGATGAGTCAATAATTCAGTGTTACCTTTGGTTCTGCATCGATACAAAGACACCATGAGGAGAGTGGAGATAAAGTATGGACAAAACACCAGCAGGTGGAGGACCACTCTGAATGGATGGAGCTGCAATCAGGGAGTGGAGCTGAGGAAGGGGGCACTGTTTCTGTGATGGCTCGCACTGTAGCTGTGGTTGTAAGTGTACCTGCAGAGAGAATCCCACCTGTTTAATCTAAATTGTATTTAATCAATTCACTGTTTCTTCAAATGAAAACATTACTCTTCCTCTTCACCTTCTTCCTCCTTCTATTTGACTTGGTGCCAGCATTCTTGTTTCCCCAAAACTTTAGAAAAGCAGAACCTCTCTGCAATGAAAAGAGAACATGTTGGATTTACTTAATTCAATAGTAAACATTGGTTGCACACAGAGGTTTTTCACCTTAAACAACTGACTTAAATCACACAGGTAATTTGGGCCTATCCCAAATGTGATAGAGCGAGAGCCGGGGCACACCCTGGACATGCCACCAGTCTATTGCAGGGCTAACGCTGAGAGAATATTTCCCAATTAACCTAACCCCAATAACTGCATGACTTTTAACTGTTGGAGGAAACCAGAGTACCCAGAGGGAACCCACTGCTAACTAGCTGGATTGCAGCCAATAAAGCTGATTTTGATTCCAAACACTCAGTGTTGTTTTACACACTCACTAATTGGCTGTGGCTGATAATAATTGGAGATTATGGATTTCTGAGTTTCATACAACAATAAAAGGGGTTTAATAGTTTACCTACTGACCTGCTGTGTAGTGAGTACAGAGTATATCTACTTTTATTAAACTTCACAGAGTCACGGTCATCATCAGGCTCACATTGGCTTTGCAGCTCCTTGCCGGTTTTGCTTTGGTCAAGAGTTGTTCACAAACTAATAATCCACCACCAAAGAGAATCTGGAGTACATAAAACCACAAACAATGGCAAAAAAATCCTCCACTTCCTCATCATTGTCACCTGCCACATTTTTTCACCACTCAAAGCTAAAGAACAACATGTCTCCATTATTTAAACCACTTTTGTTTGGACTGAACTGAGCTGCAGAGAAGTCATTTAGTTGATTTGTCTCCAGAATTGCATCTCTACAGCTTTCTGTAGTGCCAGTTCAAGTTGGCCCTTAGCCTGAGACACCTCATTACCATCAAACACATCCAGCACTGTTTCACGCAATAAGACATGAAATAAACATAATGTTTTAAGAACAGATCAAAGTGAGTGAGATTAAAGCAACAAGGCAAGGATGAAATGGTTTTATGTAACTTAAGCCAGGTACTGTACTTGTTTCCACCAGCCTTGGAAAACTGAGGGAAAACAGGTTGAGGGTTGAATAAAAGTATAGTTTTTGGTGTAGAAGGTTCTACATCAAAAGAGTTCACAGGATATAGAAGTGCTGGACAATTTATTAAGGATTGCTTCAGCTTCACTGAACAGGATTTGGAGACCTTTGTCACCTACTGTTTGCCGTGTAAAAGAGGAATCAGTGACCCTTAGCTTACTCCCCTCAAACATGGTATTTTACTGATGTCAACTATTTCCCCCTAGCCTCTTTCTTAGTACCAACTAGATTAGATCCATTGTCAGACCAGACAGGCCAGATACATTTTAAAGTATTTTCTTGCGTATGAACTTAAGTGGCATCTCATTCTTAATCCATATGGTTTAATATAATGTTGTCCCACTATTTTCAGCAATAACAGCTTCTGCACGTCTGTGTAGGATTTCCACAAGGTTTAGGAGTGCTAATGGGAATATTCGATCATTCTCCAGAAGTGCATTTGTCGCATCAGATACTGATGTTGGATGAGAAGGCCTGACTTACAGTCTGCACTCAAATGGATCCCAAAGATGTTCTGTTGGGTTGAGGTCAGGTCTCTGTGCTGGCCAGTCAAGTTCTTTCACTCCAAACTCATTAATCCACAATCATCCATGTCTTTATGGAACTTGCTTTTGTGCACTGTTAGAACAGGAAGAGGCCATCCCCAAGCTGTTGCAGAAAAGTTGAGAGTTTGAAATATTAAATTATACCTCAAAGTGGCAGCACTGCTTGAAAGAAGAGTCTGAGTCCACATTACTTCTTCTTTTTTTTATATTTCCACAAACAATTTGGTCCACAAAGAGACTTCACCCTGTTTAAATCCTAACTAACTCTTTCATCTGTCGCCCAAGTTGACCTTTGACACCAGAGGGAGGAAACATTAGCACATTTCTGACATTTACAAAGAATTTTCTAAGTATGGTGCAAATGGTCCTGTGTGTAAAGATAGCAGGGACTTTTGAATTACATGACTTCTGTAAAAGACTTCAGTTGAAGTCATGTGACTTAAGAGAAACTGGTGATCTTTACACTTTATCTGTAGACCTGCCTCATTCGCTCTGCTGCTGCTCTCTGAATAAACACCTGGCCACACAATCATAACAAATGTTATAAACAAGTTACAGTGAAGTTATGAAGAAACCGTTTAATATGATCATTTCAGAATCAGAATCAGAGAAACTTTATGAATCCCAAGCTGTCAGCAGCAGAATACATACATACAGCAGACAGCAGAGCAATCGTATAAAAAGAATTGTAGAAACAGAGATAAAAATATAAAAGGAAAGTCATATTAACAGTAATGTTAGTGGGATATTAACAGGTATTATAGCTGCACAGGTATGCAAATGTACGTTGTGGTGTACAAAAAGTGACGCTTTGCAGTGAGGTGTGTTTACTGTGGTTCAGTATGTGTGGGTCTGACCACGTGGTTGAATTAAATAGTCTGACAGCAGCAGGAAGGAACAGCCTCTGTTGAAACCAAGGAGGTTGGAGTCATCGCCAGGTTTCTGTCACCAAGAATAAATGAAATAAAGTTCATGTGAGGTTAAAAGTTAAATTAAGACTAAAAGTTTTGATTGCAGCATTCTGAGGGTCTTGTAGGGATGTTACTGAGGTTGTGGGAATGTTCCTTGATAACCGGGTAACAGTTAAAATATCTGAAACAAAACTTTTTTTCACATGTTTCTGCTACACTGATTTTTTACCTTTTTCTTAACGTGACAGAGTTGGTTAAATTTAGTGGCGGGATGAGAACTGAACAGTAAGTATGAAAGTTTCCTGAAAGAACAAAACTTTTACTTATTCTGATGCACGAAATCAACTGTTTTTAGTGAGAGGCAGCAGTTCTGACAGCTTTTTGCACTGTGGGTGCTGAAAGTCAGGGTTTTGTTAGCAGTCGACTGTCCTCAGTTTGTTTTCTCGCTCCTTTGTTTATTTTGGTTCTTTCAGTTTACTTTCTTGTTTAAAGACATGACTCACTGTGTGCACTAGCATTCATATAGATAGGCTGCTGCTGCAAGCCCCACAGCACGGTGGACTAAACCATTTTTTTATCTTTAAGGGGTGAAATGGCATCACACCTAGTGTTATCACGGCTAGTTAGGAATCAAAGTTTAGTCACCTGACTGATTTATTCATGAAATTTAAATATGACACTAATTAATAAGAAACAAAAAAAAAATGCAAACTAAAAAAAAAAAATGTTTCAGGTTTGGATAGGCCCCTCCCACCTCAGGGGCCCTGGGTAGTCCTACTCTTCCTTCACCGCTTCCACGCCCCTGCTTGCTTTGACACGATCACGGAAGACGCGGAAGACGCACGGATATTTAAACAACATTAAATGTTAATGTTTTTAATAAAGTACAACTCAGATAATCTCACGCCCAGGATCTATCGATAAGGAAGTTTAAAGTTATTTTAAAGCTGAAGAAGGAAAAGTCCGAACACGGAAATGAGAGCTGGCAGGTCTGCGTGTCTCTGCTGGAGTTTACTGTCTGTCTGCGTCCTGCTGGTCTCTGCAGGTGAGATTCAAGCTGTTTTAAAGCAACATGAAGTATGAGAGTTCACTTTATATTACTCTGAAAAGTCCGTAATACTGAGCCTATAATATCTGTGTCATTAGTGTCTGTTTAACCTGTGCTGTGGAAACTCAGCACGCAACCCGATTTATTTGCAGTTATTCTGAAATACGCACGGCGGGGTGCTGCGCTCAGTTCCCAACTATTTCTTTTCATTAACACGACAAGGTCCGGAGAAATGATGCTGCTCTGCGCTGTCACTGAGGGAGGAGTTTAAGGTGTGCAGGAGGAGGTGGAGACTATATGGACTGCATGTTTACAAGTGATTCATGTATTTTAAAAAACAGCTTTTACTATAACCTATAATTTCCTATAACCTGCATAAAACTAGACCCGTTTTGGATAATTAATTGCAAAAGTTATGCATTTTTACTACCACCAAAAGTTTATTTTGTTCCCCTGTTTTGGAACATTATGTTATAGCCTACAACAGGATTTTACCACAGAGTAATGCTGTGCAATACTACATATTCTTGTATTCATCCAATATCAAGTAAATATAGGGTCAGTATAGCTTTTAAGTCATAAAGGCAGATCATGTTGAGGTGAGCAGTGTGTTGTGATTTATGGGCTCAGTCGTTCTCAAATTGAAAATTCTGAACACATTTTCAATCTGATACCAATATCATCACTGTACTGATATTTGGATGGATCTGCCCACCTCTATAGGAAGGGTTCAGAGGCCGATGTGCTCCTAATACCTGTCCCAAGACCAGATAGCTCAGTGCAGGTGAGCTGAGAGCTATCAGGGAGGGTACAGGGACAGTTCCCGGTGGCCTTGGGATCATTTTTGCCAGCCATGGACTTCAGCTGTGCAGGAAAGCATTGACAGGGCTCTGACAATCCACACATGTGGTGTGGCTGTGTTAGGCTCACATAAAGACTGTTTGCTGTTACCAATGCATTTGTAGTTGTAGGGGACTGTAACACTGTCATGAGAACTCCCTCTGTTCCATTTATCCACAGTGTTCCCGCAGAGACGGAGACCTGCTGATCTTTGAAGGATTATGAAGAATCTCCAAACAGTTTAATAGTAAAACGGCACCAAAAACAAGAAAATAAACAATTTAGATTAAAGATAGATCATAAAAGGACTTAAGGGGCTCATAAGATTATAAAGTTACCTGAGCTGCCGTGTGAAACACATGAAAATCCCACGCTGAGTGGTCTCTTAGCTCCTTACTCTGATTGGCTGCTATACTTTGATCCCATTAAACTCTCTGCTCTGAATTATTTCTTCTTTCAGACCGGAAAATCATCACAGCGGATAGTGGACAGACTGCCACTCTGCCGTGTCGAGGTCCAAACAGCGACATCATAGGTGTGGAGTGGAGCAGAGCTGACCTGAAGACACAATATGTCCTTTTGTACCGAGACGAGCAGCTCGATCCAGCAAACCAGCATCCGAATTTTAAGGACCGGGTGGATCTGCAGGACAGACAGATGACGGATGGAGACGTGTCTCTGATTCTGAAGGATGTGAAGACTGAGGACACAGGAACATATGAGTGTCGTTTGTTAGATGGGAAGTCCATCAGCAGCATCTACCTGAGAGTTGTTGATCCTCCAGGTGAGTGAGTAGAGTTGAGTGTGTGTGTGATCAGAGGTGAAGCTGCTTCCTGGTTGTTGATGTTTGTTTCTAAAGATGTTGTTGATGAGACTTTGTAGAAAGCAGCTGGTCTGAGTGATGTGATCAGAGTGCAGTAGATAATGTCTGACAGCAGTTTGAAGAGGAAATGGATTCTGTTCTGTTCTTTACTCATCACCTACCTGACAGCTGACACCTCACACCTGTTTCTCACCTGCAGGTCAGACAGGAGGACAGAGTGGAGACGGAGTGAACGAGGATGGATTTGTTGGACTGAGAGCTGGTCTGCCTCTTCCTGTGATGTTCATCATTGCTGGTGTATTTTTAATTTACCGAAAACATAAAAAACGCAGGCGTCACGGTTTGTACTATCATGTGTGAACTGAAACTCTTTGTTGCACTACATGAAGCAGGAAAATGGGAGCGGTTTACAGTGGAGATGTGGCCATTACTTTTATTTATTTTTTGCACAGAAGGACAACAGAGCAATGCTAAACTGCAGTATACTGCTAACAGAACTTTGGCTCTTTGCAGCCATTTGCACAGACAGCATGCTAACACTAAGTTAGCCAATAACACAGAGTGTTGCTGAAACTGGGTGTATGCTGACCCCAGCCCAGCAGCCAGAGTCTGAACTTGAACAGGTAACAAAGGCAGAGATGATGAGATTGGTGTTTCTACCTGTCCGTGTTTCTATAGTAGAGCAGCTGTGGTGATCACTTTCAAGTCATCTTTGCTTTGTGTTGAAACCTGAATAATAAAAGAAAGATCACATGTGTGTCCTCATTAGGACAGGGAGTTTTGTTGATGTGTGGGACTGGGTGTAATGACACCAAAGCTGGTTATAAGACACAAACACAAGAATCAAACTGAGCTGTTAGAGTTCATGACAGAAACTGAGTAATTTGTGATCACATGAAGTCAGATTATATCAAGTAATTAATAGACATGGAACTATTTTTTTCTTCTCTCCATTAAGTGTTTTCTCTTAAAGGTGAAGCTAGTTTTCCTCTCTATGAATTATAATGTAAAAGGTCCTGTTTTTACAGTTTTGTAAACAAATCTTTATATTTTATAAGCTAATGCTAACAAAAACTGTTTCATTTGTGAATGTGAAGATATCCTGTAAATTGTCAGATTAATGTAGCTATTACAGTAAAATGACTCTTTGCACAGATAAAGCTTTACCTCCATGTGTGAGTGATCGAAGCAGATGCTGTATAGACATGTTTGGATTCACTGAAAGTCACAAGAACGTCTCGTGTGATGTGCACATTTAAAAACAGGGTCTAAACGGTAACGATGATTTGGTAGACAGAGGTGGAGGGTGGGTGGATGGATTGATGGATATTTTTTTTATACATCCAAATAAGAAAAAATGATTATAATTAAGGATTAAACTATATCACTGTACATTCATGCTACTGGAAGGATTCATTAAATAGGATAACATCAAGTGAAACGCTACATGTATAAAGGCTACCTTACACCACAAAGCCACGCTCTAAAAAGCTTTCACAGATTTAACACTGTCTGTGAAGCTGGAAATAAAGTTTCTATTTTTAGAGTATGTTTGGCACCATGTTGTGCAAGTACAGCAGGTGATGTTACTGGGTTGGTTGGCTAATAGACTTCTATTCATTTATGTTAGCTAACTAGTGACAGATCAGATTACTTAGTGTAAAGCGAGAAGCAGTAAAAGGGTGTCACTTTTGTGAACCACCAGTGTACCTGACTCAACCTGGCTCTCCTCCTCACTCTTAAAACAGGTGGATTTTCATGTTTCAGTTCAGCTAGCCGATGTTGAAGAATCACTTGCTGCTAAAGAGACAGAGTGAAAGTGGGCAGTATATCCTTGGTTTCTTAGTATTAAATAACTCACTGTTGCAGACAGGGAAGGAACAAAATCGTCCCCTTAGACTGATTTTTAGTTTTAGTTTCCATGTTTTCTGCTGAGTTATTGGTTCTGTCATTATTTAGCTAACATAAACTCAGGTATGTCTTATTAGTTGCAAGCAATCAGCCAACCCAGTGATGTCACGCTACTGACACAAGATGTTTTAAATCCAGCTCCACAGACAGTGTTACATCGCTGACAGTCCTTGGTGTAAATTAACCTTTACACGTGTAATGTTTCATGTCCACTTTAAATACAATGCAGGGATTTAGTGTAACACATGGCATACGTCCAAGTGAACACATTTACGTTAATTACTTACATAAAAGTCTTCTTAACTTACAAAGTTTTTCTATCAGGCTCTAAAGATGTCGTTATGTAAACTTTAACAGATTGACAGGTGACAGGATATGATGTATGCTGCTGTAGTGAAACTGGAATGGGGTTTAAAACTTGTGATTTTAACACAGATAATTTATGCACTTTTTAATTTTATGATGTTTAAGACTTTGAAAAAGTATTTTCATGAAGTCAGAGCTCCTATCTTGAGAGCACAGGGTTAGCTTAATGTGATCAGAGGCTGAGGAGGGGGAGAAGCTCCACTTTATCTTTGTGGTAAAACGTTTCACTGTGTTTAAAGACATGAATAAAAACTGTGTTAAATCAATGTTTGTGTGCTGACTGTGTTGTTTTCTGGTAGAAGGAAGTTTCACGAGGAAAAGGTTTTAAAACTCAGAGAAGCTGTGCTGAACTGTATGTTCCTTCCAGGCAGACGCAGATCAGGGTGTGATCAGTTAAGTGAAGACGACTAATGCCCATGAGTGCAGGGTGCTGTCCTCAGACATGCAGTTTTACTAACGCACAGACCTGAAAAACGGAGAGAGTAAGGAGCGCTCTTCCAACAACAAGCGTAACATGAATCTGAATCTGGGACATGTGACTGTGAAAGGGTTTTAAAAAACTGCTAATTAATAACCAGACAATACAGACCAAAGAGAATTGAGGGAAACATTTACAGGCTGGATTAGAAAAAAATCAAACAATAATTAAACATCTTATTTGGTCTCTTATGACAGAAAAACGCTGAGCTCAGGCATTTAAAGAAGACATTAAGATTAGAGACACGTTGCCTCACACACTGACCACACATTGGTCTTTTTGTAGAAAGTATTTGTTATTAGTATCATGTAGTCCATCCCAAGCTTCTCATTGACTCTTGAAACAAAAGGCAGTAAACTCTTGCTGTGTCCTCTATACTAGACTACAGGTGGACACGGCTGTAGTCTAAAGGGGAAAAGTCTTTCAGGTCACATCAGGGAAAGAGGCTATCCTAGATCATAGAATATTAAACAGATTCAAAGCCTAATCAGAATTCCTGATGGGTGTAAAGGAGTAGTTTCTTGAAGCAGCCAGCAGGTGGCAGCAGATCACCTCTTCAGTATCCTTAGAGAGCAATTTAGGATGTAAAATTGGATTCAGAATCCATCATTTCTCCATGAGTCAGTGAAATAGAGACAAAGATGGTTAAAAACTACAACACAGAGCAGAGAAGTGAGTGCAGAAACAAAGAAAATAGAAGATTGTTTAACACAGACAGGCGACTAAGACAGAAACAGATGTGTAACTGCCCATATGGAAAAGAAATAGAAAAAAACTTATAAAAGACTTGCATAAGATGTGGCCTACTTCATACAGTGAATCATATAAGGCTTATATGATTTACTCATGAAAGTGGCCACTTTCTCATTACTTTCATATATTGTTTTGTATCCAAGTATCCAAGTTTCATTTATATAATTTTTCAAGGGATCTTATATCTGTTTTCACTCTTGTATGCTTTTCATACAAGTTTCACACAAGACAGATACAAACAGATATCTCCAAGCTCTTAACCATGCTGCACTCAGTGAGCCCATTCTGAGAAGTCGCGCCTCGTCCCATCGTTTCAATCCCAGCGGGCAGCCTTGTGGGAGTTTGAACAGCCGGTTCCGCTTTCTTAATTCTCCGATAAGCCAGGGCCAAGCCAGCTCCGATCAGCAAGAACCCTGTTATCATGGTCCTGAATAGGTAGATATCTTCAGCGTCCTCGATCGACAGTCCCGCCAGGCACATGATCCTCCAGGTCTGCCACCCGTCCATCGTGTATCCAGCAGGGAAAGTGACCTCCCAGCCCATTGTTCCTTCAGTGGGCTGGTTTCAGTCATTATGCAAATGTACTGTTTATAAGATTTGGAGAAACCTGCAGTCAGCTGAGACTGAAGAAGTCACTTGGAGGAGTGACGAAACGTTTCTCCCACAAAACGCTACGTCCAGATGAACAGAATCAACTTTTGGAGATTTACTTACCTGAATGATTGAGCATGCATCAAGTTATTTATTTTACATTTATCATTTAATTATTCATATAAATAAATATGGAAACCAGCAAAACTGATTATTGACATGGTTCACTATTTACTTAATTCTCTGGAGTACAGGTGTGCAGAACATTTTTTATGTATCTTCTTTGGATGTCATCACAGGAGAATTCAGCTCAGGCCTGTGCATGGAGGCAGCAGTACATTTCTGCCTGCCGGTGGTCTTTATGCTTTACGTGCTCTCTGTCCCACTGGATTAACACCTGGCTCACTGTTTGCTGAGAAAGGCCGGACAGTAAATAATCAGGAGATGCAATGGTGGGTCAACTTTGAATAAAGATAATTATCTGAGTCTGCTAGAAAATGTTTTCTCTACAACTTTATTAGAACTACTTTAGCTTTTAGCAACTTTTCTTACTGCAGGTTTTTATGTTACTCCCAGAAAAACAGGATGAGCTCTGGAAAGATTTCCGTGAAATCTTTTTCAGGTTTCAGGTTTCCATAGTGTGGTGTTACGAGTTCAAAATTGGGGATGGAAACAAGAGAAA